TCACTTTCTAGTACCTATGTGAAAAGGATAAACATGTGGTAAAACAATTTACAGTAATTCCATCGGTTAATTCCAAGTCAACCGATTGCCGATAATTGCTACCTGCAATGAGATGGAGTAGTTATTAGGTGTATCTCATTTTTCTGCTAAATCTAGTGGTATTATAGCGTTAAATTTGGATAAATTTGTGTGATAAATTTGGATTTATCGTTTTAAAATTATATATAATTGATAAATATTTCAATAATATGAAATAATTAGAATAAAAATTTTTTTCTCATACTCGTACAACTGTGGCCCATCCTAATTATATATAACAATTTTTTAATTTCATTGAGCAGCACAATTCTTATTAAAACACAAAAATAATGAGTCTTAGATAAGATTTTATTTCCTTCTGTATATTCTGCATTCTGTAGAATTTGTCTATAAAATACACAAAAAATTTTATAAACAAATGTTTTGAATTTGAATTAATTATTTTAATTATAAATTATAAAAAATTGAGTTTCTTCACGAGTTCCTTCTACTAAAAATAGCCAAAAAAAATTCCGATTTTAAATGATTGAGTTTCTTCACGAGTTCCTTCTACTAAAAATAGCCAAAAAAAATTCCGATTTTAAATGAATTTTTGACCACATCCGTATAAAATTTCCAAATCTCTAGTATCTTTACTATTAAAAAATAATAAAATAAAAATTGGGAATTTTTACTTGTAAAAAGTTTTTGTTAAATTAATTTATATAAATAAATCATTAAAATGGCATTATTTTAAAAAAGGTGGCTTGTTTTTTTGTAAAAGCGGCAGCACTCTATACAAGTAATGACGTATTTTGAATGTTAATTACATTAAGAGAATTAAGGTAACAAAGTATATTGACATTTAACAAGATAGCTTATAAATACCATAAATTATTAAAAAACCATAAATTGCATTTGTTTTTAAATGAAATGGCCTTTTCACAACAATATTGCCCATTTTTAATTACCATAATTGGCATTTAATTAAATTTGTGCATAAATTTTAAACTGATTTTAGCTGAAAACAACGCCTTTTATGTAAATTTTTTAAATTAAATTATACAAAAAGCTAGTTTACAACTTGTTTGCTGCTAACTAAAACAGTTTATGAATGTAAGTTCAGTGTAAAATAAAAGCAATGGTCGCCAGCCAATCGGGTGGCAGCTAAACACAAATACAACTACACGCAGTGTATAAGCGATTACGTTATAACGTAAAACTTTTACGTAAAGAGCTTAAACAGCGTATACACTGCTGTGCTTTATATGCTTGAGATGAGTGCTTGAGTAGAAAAATAGGCGTTGCTGTGTTTTAAACTTTTTTTATTTATGTGCTTTTATTGCTGGCGTTTTTGTTGTTGAATTGGTTGAGTCTAAATTGCGCGCGCATTTGTACACAACACCCACATAAGCACCAACACAAAAGCAGAAAAGTAGTTCTACTGGATTAAGAAACATGTATGAGTGTTGGTGTTGGTGTTGATGTGATTATGCATATTGTATTGTGTAATGCTGAGACTTTTTCAAACGGAAAGATTCATTTTCTATTCGCAACGCCGCACTGGTGCTATCGAGAACGTGGTGTGCGCGCGCGTATTTATTTTAGCTTTTTACTTTTGTTGCTACACCCGTCGGTGCATGCGCTTTTATTTATCGGATTTTTTTCTTAAGTTTTTGATACTTTTTTTTGTGTTTTTCACTTTGAATTGAATTGTTTGTGTGTGCACAATTTTTGTGTGTTCTTAGCCGTTAACGTCGCGTTCAATATTTTTGTTGTTGTGCTATGGAGTAAAAGAACAAGAAGAAGAAAAAGTTGAAGCAATCTAAGAATAAGAAAACAAAGAACAAGGCTACCAGTTCTTGCGCTTCTCGTGGTTCTTGTGATATTTGGCTTTTGGATAGCTTAAGTTTTGGCCGCATTTAGTATTAAACGAGCCTTAAGCGCTTGTGGACGGTTTAATAATATTTTGTGTTGTGCGCGCAATTTTTTTTTATTTGAGTAAATCTAAATTGATCAGTTATATGTGTAATTCGTTGAATTTTTTAATTAATTAATTAATTCATTAATTAATTTTTCGTCGCTATAATTTTTTGTTATTAAAAATTCATACAATAGCTATTCAAAACTGTGTGTTTTTTATTATTCTTTACATAACAATTAATAATACTATGCAATAATTATTAAACAAAAATTATAAGTTACAATAACACCACCACCAACAACAACAACAACAATATAAAATTAAAAAATTAATATACAATAAAAACAGAAAATTATTAACAATTTTGTTCAAATCAATTGTATAATTTTGTGTTTTGCCGTCAGTGTTAAATTTTGTTGACAATGGCAATTGTTTACATTTTACAATTTTACAATCAATCACAATCAGTGGCTCATATGTCCACCCACCCACTCGTAATACACCATTGAATATCAGCGAAATAGTTAGTCAGTCAGATAATACGTACTCGACTGATCATTGAGCGAATCACACATACACGCTCATTCAATTAACCACACACTGTGGCAACCGTGGAGCAATCAATCAAATTAAGCCAAACATACTCGACACAAATGATTTTGCCGCGCAAATCACAATTTGAAAAATTGTTATATAGAAAGAAATTGATTTTATTTAATATTAAAGTGCAAATGTGTAGAAAAGATTTACGATAAATCAATTTAAAATCAAATTTAACGTACAGCAAAAATTATATTTTCAATATTTTTTGTGTATTACTTTTGAAGTAAAACAATTTAATTAAGTTAACAAAGTGACAGAAAGCCGCTTACGAATTATAACAACAATTATAAAACTATAGAACTGTCAATTGTGTGGTCTCGATTATTTACGGAATTTTAAAACCATAATAGATCATGAAATTGATTCGATTAATTGGATTATAAATGCTATCACAATGGATTAAAGTGTTGACATTAAGTAAGTCTTAATATTGCAAAAGTAATTAATAATAAAATTAATAATATAAATGTGTGTGTCATTAGACCCAAAATAAATAAATAAATAGATCAATAATTTTTACACTTTTAATAAAGTCAACTAAAAAATAATATTTACTAATATTAATCGTAAAAACTTTACATAATCATTCTTATTTATTAAAATTTGACGTGGGTGAGAATTTTCTTCATAGTGTCTGCCGAATATACTTAGTCAATGCCTTCGTAATAGTTACAAATTTTCATGACTCAAGCCTTAAGCCCTGTACAGAGTTTGGGCACGGATTCTAAAGGTTCTCTCTAGTTCCATTTAGAGAGCCATTTTATTTTCTTATAAAGATTTGCATAAATATGCTGTTGACTGGCATTTGGAGATTACGATTGACTATTTCTATATTTTGCATTTACTGGAAATTAATTTAACATCTCGTCAAGTCCACAACAAGAATGGTTTTTCGAACAAGTAGTATTTAGAAAAAAAGTGTATTCAACAGAAAATATGTATTTAACATATCAAACACTTAGTTAGGAACAAAAAAAAAAATTTCCGTGTCACTACAACAAAATTGAAAACAACACATACTTTTTTTTTTGAGTAAGTAGTTAAATTCAGGGGTGAATCTGATATGATTTCTAAGAGTACTGTTTATGGATTTTGTTATTATATGTCCTCTTTTATTCTTGATGTGATTAGATGTGATTTATTATTTTTGATTGAAAACTTACTCGTGTCAATGCAACCAATTTTATTTCTTTAAAAATATTATAAGACATTCGATATAAATTTTTCGAACAAGGACTTTCGAACACATGTTCTTCAATAGCTGTAGATCGGTTTCTTGCAACTTTATGTTTACTTTATATAATTTTAATACGGAACACTGATAGTCTGAATAGAACTGATCACAAATAATCTAAAATTATTGTAATAGAATGACTAACTTTTCAATTTTAATCTTTAATTATTTTTCTAATCAGTATACATTCTAATGTATACATTTATATTGGATTATGTTTGCAAGTAATTTTTATTATTATTTATAACATCGTTTTCAAATTGATCTTACCAATATATGTAATTAACTTTTTCTATATGTTCTCTTTGACTTTTTGGTGCAAAGTTTTTGATATATGTATTCCTCCTCTACAAATGGAAACCAAAGTTCCTGTCACTTATCCATCACATATTCTTTGATTTAATTTTTTTGTTTTATTTGCGATCTTACAGTGTATTAACTTATAGTTCAAATTATATATATTAAAGTACATTTACTTTCTACATTAGAAGCCAAATTAGTTTCTAGTTTCAAAAATAAAAATAGATTTTTGTATACATAAGAGTTCCTACGTGTTGGTTAATAAAGTTCAATTATGAAAAAAAGACGAAAAAATAATTTTTAATGATGGCAAGCAAAGCTAAATTTGTTTTATGAAAATGTTGTCATTCATTAATATTTATGAAAACCTAAATTTTAATAATTGAGTGAAAATGTATTGTCTTTATTTTTTTACATAGATAGATAGATGAGATGCTAGTGTATCCTACATTAGTAGGAGATTTACTGAGTTCAAAAAATTGTGATGCCACAAAGAAATCTTAGGTCACTCTAGTTGACTAAAAAAGTTTTGAATAGGGATAACCTTAATTTGAAATAGGAAACATAAACAGTTGTCCAACGGTTAATCTTTAGAAATTATATATATTTAAAATTATATTATATTATTTATATTTAAAAATGAATTATATTTAGAAAAAACGGTTAGATATACATTTTCATTGAATATTTTTTTTGAAATATCGGATATTCGTTCCAAAGTGACATGCAATCATATTTTCAGATATTGAATTTAAATTGTAGATTAAAAATATCTTAAATGGATATTTAGTTACATATTAATCATCACTACTCAAACAGTGATTCAAAATTTCTTTAATTCTTCAATATTTTACTTCTGAATTCTTAACATTGTTTATCTTCCTTTGTTTTAATACTTTTTACTTTGATTCTAAACATTACCTGATAATGATAACCCTCGTAGTTTGCATCAGTTTTAAAAGCAGCCTTCATATTTCGAAAAAAGTTTTTCAGTTAATGCTTTTTCCTATCGTCGTATCCAGATTTTGATAATCTCCGCGGTTATGGTTGCAAAAATTTTTTGGAGGTTCCGCTTAATTATTTTCAATTTATTTTCGTTTTTCGCACTTATGGCAAAACTATTTACATACTTATAAATTAAATACAAAAAGTATGTTCCCAAAAAAAATCATCAATAATTAAAATATTAAAAATGATTTCTCGGTTTTTAAGAATTATCATGAAGAAACTTAAAAAATGTAAAAAATACGGATCTAAGGTTTCTGTTAATAATTTAATTTAATTTTATTTTAAAGGAACTAATAAACTGTATTTGTAAAAATAACCTTAAATAAGAACAACTATGTTGGTTTTTAATAAAATTATTTTTAAGAGAAACTGCATACCATGTGCCCGGGACTGATGCACAAGACTAGGAAAGGTAGGCTCTATACTGTCTTTCATTAAAGAAATTGGACTTGGAGAATCACTCTAACCCGAGTAAGGGGCAATAGATTTTTTAGGTCGGAGTGCACAATCCCTTCTTTTAATATTAATAATAACTGTGATACTATGGCAATACATGTACGATGGCATTATTATAACTGAAAATTTCAGTAATTTTATTGACACTAAATGTAAATGTATTCACTTTTATATTTGTCTTCTCAGTATAGTATTGATATAGCTTTTAGTTACATGATAGTAGTCTTGGTCTGTGGTCTGTGGGTAGACTAGTAGGGACCAGTTTCTCTGATTGAAAAAAACTAACGTTATTATTATTATCTATCGTAAAAGTATAACAATATAAAAAATTTGCAAAATTTAAGTTCATAAAATATTTTCAGAAACAGAAACAGAAAATTATGGTATTTAAAAATTTGAGAAAAATTCCAAGATTTGGGGTTTATTTAAAAAAAAACGAATTTTTTGACTACAGAAATTACAAAAAAAAATTTTTATAAACAAAAAATAATAATTACTAAAACTTTGAAACTTAAATAATAATTCACAAAAATTTTTATAATTATTATAAAATTATTAATATATTTTTATTAAATAACAAAATTTAATATTTATGTATTAATTCAATAAATTATTTATAACCCACAAAAATAATTCTTAACTACGACTTTGGTCAAGTGCAGTTTAATCATTTTCTATACTTTGGCCTATGCACTATCAAGATGATCATGGTATGAGATATAACGTTACATTATTCTCGAGGTAAACCCGTTCAAGACATGATGGCGTATCCTGAATTTAGAAAGACGACAACTGAAAAAATATAAAACCAAACCATTATGTGTTATAATCAAATCATTATAATAAATTAAAACAGAATGGAATAAACCGACGGAATATTTATGTTTTCTAAACTTTATGTTTTAAATTTACCGAAGACCAAAAAAAAAAAAAATAAGCGAAAATCTAATGATAATTGATTATCAAACCAATTTTGAACAAATTGCAAAAAATGAAATTTTCATTTTTAAATTTAAAACTACAAATTTTTGTGCTTAAAACAATTACATTATCATCTGTAAATAGATTCAATTTACAATTTTATACAAGTAGGATTCCAATGATATGAAATCAGCCCATTATAATATCTCAGAGAACCAGAAAAGCAGTCTGTTATTTTGTAAAAGTACCAACCTCCATTTTATTTTATAAAAAATAAACAAAAACGTTTTACAAGGCACACCTATTTGTCCTTTATATTCTCGCCGACTATAATGATCTTGTGGACTTAGTCCCTTTTGTAATTTATCACTACAGAGTCGTACAATTTTGCTTGCATACTACAACAACACAATGATCTCTTTAGTTTAAGCTAATTATGGTAGCTTCAGTATTCCTAAATAATATAGAAAACCATCTTGTCGCACTTAACTTTTAAAACAGTGAATATGGTTGCGTCAGATAAAAAAGGAATCCAAAAAATTTTTGAACTCTAAACAAATAATGGAAATATACAAAACTTGACTTGAAGAAAATTATGCAGAAACGCGTTCAATCAAAGTCAACTGTAATTGAAGTTGTTATAAATATTATTTTACCTAGTTCGAATGCTCAATAAGAGGAGCATAGTCCCAATTCAGTGCTAATACCTTCTGCTCAAAGAGTACTCGGATTTTGTAAATAAAACACACAAATTTAAATTTTATTTCAAATTTATTTTATCTCCTTCAAAATATGCTCCTTCTGAAGCTATACACATATGCCAACGCTTAACCCAATCTTCCATACACTTTTCGTAGGCCCGTGAAGGTATGGCTTTTAGTTCCTACAGCCAATTCTCTTTTACCGATTCAATCGATTCAAAACGCTTTCCACGAAGGGGTAATTTGAGTTTCGAGAACAGGAAAAAGTCGCACGGATCCAGATCTGCCGAATATGGTGCCTTAGCGATGACAGTGGTGCTGTGTTTGGTCAAAAAATCGCGTACTACAAGAATTTTCCATAGTAAAAATCGCTAAATGCACTTGAGGTAGTCTCACATTAACAGCTGCTGTAAACAAACTAATTGACAGATGGCGCTTAAATTTGTACCATTTTGAAAAAGGTCTATTACTTAAGGAGTAATTAACAAACAAAAAATATACTTTTTGAGCAGAAGGTATATATTGGTACGCAATTATTGACAAGTAATTTTTATTTAAAAAATTTTGATGAAATACAAAAACGCTTTAGCATTTTTATCTTTAGACATAGATTTATTACTTCTTTATATTTTCCGAACTTATAATAACATTAAAATTGAAAAATTTGTTTTTAAGAATATTAGACATATTTCATGTGATCCAATTTAAAAATTGTAGTAATAATTGTTTCAATCAGAAGTTGCATTTTTATAGTTAAGAAACTGAAGCAATCAATATATATCGTAGCCGTCTAAAGGATTATACTAAACTGTTTAGTTGAATAACCCTTTTGGTTCATGTAATTTTTTTATTGGATTTGATTTTAAAAACAACAATCGAGTTAGATTTGGGTAATACACAAATTAAAACTTATTTAGTTAACGATCATTATTAGTCTCAAAATATATATGGAAAAACTTTTGTGTTCAATATTTATAAAATAAAAATATTATATTTAAACTTATTTAATATACGTAAGAAAATATATTTTAAATATTTTAAACATAAAATCATCAGATTTTCAGTAAACTTGTTTTTGTTATTCTTAATTATATAGTTGATCAGACTAGTTATTTATATTTATATACAGCTGTGGTTTATGCATTTTTTCTAATATAGCAATGCAAGTGAGTTTGTTGTTGAAAAAATGACTTTCACTATAAATAGTTTGTGTTTAAATTCAAGTAGGTGTTGGTTTAGATGTTTGAAAATTAGGTGTTTAAATTAAACAGAATTCGAATCCAAAAATTTTATAGGAACAATCACAACCAAAAATATATCCTAAAACCATTAATACATTTAGCAATATCCGATACAGCTGAATGGTACACCAAAAAATTATTTGTTTATGCATAAAGAAATTGTGCAGAAATTTATTACTATTTACTCCTTTTCTATTTCTACCCCTTCCCTTTTTGCAATATATATTAGAAATAAAAAAGTTCTTTGTCATTTTTGCTCTAATCATTACATGTAGTGTGAAAAAAATGTACTTTAGCCATTAACACAATGTAAAAATATTTAAACCGATGGACACATCAAGTTTTAGATGTCGGTGAATATGCCTATTTATTCGTCTATATGCTATATACACATATGTATTTATATCCAATAATTTTGAAATTTCTAGCATTTCTCGTGAAGCGCAAAATCGGCAGTATACATAATATTAACATTTCAAATTATTTAGAAGACAGAATAATAATGCTGTCGATATTATATTAATGAAGATATATTAAAAAAAGTAATACATGTAAAATCACTATACAAAATAATAAATACGTTTTTGATTTACATTGGTGCTATATAAACTTTGATATAAAAAACTTTTCTGATATCTTAAATAATTTTTAAAGAACTTCAACTGAAGTTTATGGATTATCTTTAAAATTTAAACCAATCTGATAAAAGCATCTGATAAAAACATTTATCAAAAATATTGTTTTAATATGAAATTTTAGTATGTTTATAATTTAAAAAGTAAAACTTATATATTTCATTAAGAGTCAATAAATAATTTGTACATAGACTCATAGTCCTGAGGGAGGAACAATGATGGGATGAAGACTCCGCACTGAAATAAACTAGTCAAATAAATATTGTACCTTTATCATATATTGTACAATATATTTATATATTGCAAAAATTATTATTATTATCAAAATAATTACTATTATTACATATTTCAGCAAATTGGTGTTGTAATACCAATCATTCAAAAATTTATACTTATTCACCGCAATTACACCGAATTTATAAAACAATTTACTGTAGTCCTTATCTTTCAAAAACATATAAATTTATTTATTTGATTGTTTAATTTTTTAGATTTTCATATTTTTGTAAAAGATTTAAACGTTAAGAAAAATACTTTATGTATAAGAATACAATTTTATATTACAAATATTTTATTGTAATGTTTTCTTGCCGAAAGTGTCGCATCTTATGACGAAAAGAAACTATTTAGAAGTTAGAAGGATTCGAATAGGAATGAAAAGACAAAAACAACAATTATAGTTAATTTAATGAAATTTGATTGACCATACAATGTCCTTTCGAGTATGACCAGTACTTCATCATCAGTGGTCTTAGGAAATATTCGAATTTCGAATTTTATTAATTAGTTTACTCCGCATATAATTTGTTTGGACTTTTTTAAATTATTTGGAAATAATTTATAGTTCAATTTTAAAACATAGTTTTTTTTCTAAGAAAAATTATTTTACATTTCTAAAGTCTGCTAGATGTAAATTTTTGTAGTAGATTTTGTATGGATAACTTATTATTTTCCATTTGCAAAGAAGAAGGTGAAGGAGATGAAGGTGAATGGTGTTAAAGTTTTAGCAA